GGGAGGGGCAGGGAGGGGGCTGTTTTTTCTCTTTAAGGATTTTGACTCATGATAAAATTTTAAATTGTCTATTTGAAAATTTTGCAATCATATACCAAGATGTAGTAATGAAAGTTTGTAAAGACTTCTATATATGAGCCATGAAGGACTTTTGCAAACTGCTCTAACTTGAACATAAGCATATAATTATATGTATCCCTCTCAAAAAAACTGCTAGTTCTTTAACTTTTCTGAAAACACTTCAAAAGCTCTTTGGAACTACCAGTTGACCTGGGAAGTTAAATATGCAGATTATTTTAGACGAAAATAGGATTATCTAAATATAATAATAAAATAGTGGTATAAGCTCTGGAGAGCAGTCAAAACTATACATGTTCTCTTTGGGAAGATATGTATTTGTCTCTCATCTGTATTATTTAGGAGATTTGAGAAATTGAAAGGGATATTTAGAAAGAGCAAAATAAGTTTTTGCAAAAGAGTCAGGATACAGGACAGTTGTGTCTGTGTGTGTATGTTCACACTTGTTTGAAATACAATTGAGATTTAGTCAGAATTTGTAACCAGATTGTATCTTCAAATTTTATGAGCTGGCATCAAAATCATGTCAGTCCTTGGTTTACAGTGAAATGTCAACAGGAAATGTAGTGTCCTTATAATCTGAGGACCTCACAAACTAATTTGATTTATTCACAGTTGGTATCCATATTCATTCATTCATTCATTTAATCATTGGGACCCTCTACACATGTCAATCATTTAGGAGAAATGTTGTCCTTGGGTATCTAGAGTTCCCTGCACTCTACACTTGTCAGTTTGTTGGTACACCTTAAAAACAAAAGGAGTCTCTAGATGGATCCAAGACCCTAAGTAATACAATGGTGAAGACCACACATTTTTTGAGTCTGACATATTTTGGCTAGAATCCTAACCCTCCCAAATTTCTGTCCTTGATCAAACTTATGTGATTGTTGAGAAGATTAAATAAGATAATGTGCTCTCATACAGTGCTCTCGAAATAGCAACTATCATTACTACTGTGATCATTATTATTAGCTGTGCATCATTAAATTGCATCAATTCCTTGGGCTGTGCTGTGTGACAGCCTGGTAAGGAAGAGAGAGGGGAGCAGGAAAGAAGAGTGTGGGATGGGACGTGATGTTTTAGGAAAGTTAGAGTTGATCATCTATTTTGCATTCATTCAGCTCTCTTCTGCTGAAAGTCAGAGAATTATTTAATAAGAAAATATAATTAAATTATTTAAATCCTTTCTCAAGATTTTAGTATTAGAAGGAAAACAACTAAAGTAAACTCTCCTGTAGTTTTTAGAGTACCCAGGGCTCACCTTGGTGTGAACATGAGCCAATGCCATGGTTCAGCATGAAAATGCCATCAGGAAGTCTACATTGTCACGGCCCAAGAACCTTATGAACTAAATTTCACTCATTTGCAGTGGACGCCTGTATTTAGTGAGTCCAGGAAAATAATGCAATTAGTCATTCTTTTCTTTTTGGAGTTGGTTCTTCTCCATCTGCTCAACTCGCCACCTACCTCTGTAGTCAATGTGCACAGAGTTCTATTTTGATGTCCATCTATGTCGGGCATTTATTTCCAGGATATCTCTGTCTAGCCCCCAAGTGTGCTTGATACACAGTCCTGGGCTATAATTCCATGCATTCATCCCATCGATGTTTATTGAGTGCCTACTATGTGCAGGATATTGTCCTTGAGGTCCGAGCATGAAGAAATAGCCTCAGGGCTAAAAGAACATCCAAGTAGTCCCATTTCAAGGACCCCAAATGGAATGGATAAGAACTAAGTGGCCTTCAAGGATACAAAAAGTTAAAGATCTGCAGTGTAGGAGCCAAAGAACAAATTGCTTGAAATAGTGTAATAAACCCATCTCCCAAATCAATAATCCGGCCAATCTAGACCAGTGCACCTGTAAGGGTGATTTGTAGACAGGTATCCTTATGCAAACTATCACTTTTCCCACACTCTATTGATGCAAGTACAGAAACTGAGAATAAGCGTTAGAAACATTTGTACCAACTTGACATTGCCACTGACATTCAAATGCATGATCAGAGGATTTACCTTGCTGAACAGGGTAGAGGCCTGTTGTATATTGTCAAACTTGCCTGTCAGTCATGCATGGACAGAGCTATGGAAATGTCTTGTAGAACCATGTATTGGGGCATAATGGACCAGATATATATATTTTTTTAATTAATATTTTATTGGGGAATTGGGGAAGGGGAACAGCCAAGTTGTTGTCCTTCAGTCTTAGTTGTGGAGGGTGCAGCTATCTCAGCTCCAAGTCCAGTTGCCATCCTGCCACCCATCAGCAGCTCGCAGCCACTCAGCTCAAGGCGTCATGTTCAATCTTAGTTGCAGGTGGGCATAGCCCACCATCCCATACGGGAGTTGAACCGGCAACCTTGTTGTTAGGAGCACGTGCTCTCACCAGCTGAGCCATCCTGCCACCTGTTGGCAGCTCAGCGGTAGCTCAGCTCGGGCACAGCTCACTGGTCCATGTGGGAATCGAACCAGCAAACCTGTTGCTCAGAGCTTGTGCTTTTAACCAACTAAGCCACTCAGCCAGCCCCAGATATTTTTTTAAATGGTCCTTCCTTTCAAACAATTTGAGACTCACTGATTTATACTTTATAGTACCCTTAATGTTTTTCTTTAGGTTTATTCTTGATATGCATCTAATGTCATTTTGGTCCGAATGCTACTTTCATTTTAATTTGCATATACCTGTACTCCTCTCTGCTACAGTCATTCTAAGGAAATTAATTGGTAACACATTGCACTAGAATGAGAGCTCTGGAGACATTACATTCTGCTGCAGAGCCCACAATTCAAATCTGCTTTAGTACCAGAGGCTAGTTCCATCCAGACCCCATTCCCTTCCCCAAGCCACCCTCTATCTCCACACTACACCTCCCTGGAGTTTTCGTCACAATTTGAACTGATTACTCGGCCACCAGGACCCCATCCACCTCCTTCCCACTTCCTCTGTTCCCAGAGTCTCAGGTAATGTATTCAGTGGTGCTCACAGTTCACCAACTAGTGGCACTAGCAGCAACTGGAGCTTGTTAGAAATGCAGAATCTCAGGTCCCACCCCAGACTACTGAATTGGAAGCTCTGGAAAGGGGCCCAGGAACCTGTGTTTATCCCTCTGGGTGATTCTTAAAACCTAAGTATCAGGAAGTGCCTGAGAATATTGTACTCTTAAACTTTTAGTATAGGAAAGGGTCTGCCACCTAGTGGACACCCAGCGAATGTACATTTTTCTTCCAGTCCTTGACTCACCTGAGGTGCTACCTGAATCTATCCATTCTTGATTGGGCCTTCCTTTAGTCCTGGCTTATTATTTTAATTGCCAATGGGATGTTTTGCTTAATCACTCTGCCTGGTAACACCTCCCTCTGGGACTCGAGCCCTTCTGAGACGCTCACCCTATTTGGCTAGGACCCTGGTCCTCCTCTAAGTTCTTACACTGTACAAGCCTTCTCCACTCAGCCCCCTCATGCCCTCCTGAACTCCTCTCCAGGAACTACGGGGTCTCATGAGTCCACAGGATAGGTTCTAGAAGATGCATACACCCCTGTAGCTGAATCTAACCAACCCTGCTGAACCCTGATAGTTAGACCTCTGTACTTTAATGTTTGACCTTGGTGTCAATCAGGGACCTTCCTGAAACACCGGAACCTGGTGGGAGAAACAAGACAAGATTGACCCACCTCCCAGTTTGTATCCAAAAAGGATAGCAGCAATCTGGTGATTTCACTGAGTTTTCTCTGTAGGTCTGCTCTGCATTTAATATCAAGAGAATTAAGTCTCATGTCCCCAGGATGGCAAGAAAAAAGTCAAAATAATTTTACTAACTAGTTATTTTCTTGAGTTATAAAAGCCTTTCATGTTCATTGTACAAAAAGTGGAAATTTCCCAAAAGTTCAACAAAAATAATTTTTAAAAATCATTTGTAATTCCAAGGACAGGCAGTGTTAAAATCTTTATTATATTTCAGTCTTTTTTCTCTGCGTATCTATTTTTTACAAACTTGGAATTATATTAGACATATTATTTTTAACCAGCTTTT